TTTTTTTTTTTTTTTTTTAAAGTGAACTAGATTAAAATGTCAACATTTGGACAACCGAAGAGTGGGCGGAGCCACAGAGCTTCGATCCGCCCAGCGAAACTCGTTCGTACCGTTTTCTTTTACGTCCTCAGAGCACACATAAAGACACAGGACCTGTGTCACTGACTTTCATTCGTCTTTGTTCGGTCAAAGAAACAGCAACCATGAGTGGAAGGGGCAAGGGAGGCAAAGGACTCGGAAAGGGAGGCGCCAAGCGTCACCGTAAAGTTCTCCGCGATAACATCCAGGGAATCACCAAACCCGCCATCCGCCGTCTTGCTCGTCGTGGCGGAGTGAAGCGTATCTCGGGTCTGATCTACGAGGAGACTCGCGGTGTGCTGAAGGTGTTCCTTGAGAACGTGATCCGTGACGCCGTCACTTACACCGAGCACGCCAAGAGGAAGACCGTGACCGCCATGGACGTGGTGTACGCTCTGAAGAGACAGGGCCGCACTCTGTACGGCTTCGGCGGTTAAACTCATTCACACCAACTGAAACAACCCAACGGCTCTTTTAAGAGCCACACACTTTCTTTTTAAGAGCTTTGTTCTAATACGATGTACTATTTATAATATGGCAACAGAAGAAATCTCACATTTCGGGTATAGTCTTGATTTGCTGAACAAAGTATGTTAAACTATAACTGGTTCAGACACTTGCATTTTGTTTGTCTGTCTATTACATAATTGTTTAATCCAGTCAAAAAGGGAACTTGGGAATTTGTGTTCATCAGCATCATCCTCTGAAGGTGATATTCCCTTCATGTCATAGAAGGGAATCATCAAAGAGCCAAGGGGTTTAGTTTCTCCCTCTTCCCTTTGATAAAAATACTTGTTACATTGTATACTACATCACAATAGAACATGTACAACAATTAAATACCTCATATGACCATGTAGGAGTTGGATTTCTTTACCAGAATTCTCTTTAGGAACCATCCAGTGCTCTGTAACTCCTTAACCTCTTAAGCTCCAAGAGGGTTTCTGAGCTTCCTGCTCAAAAATGTAATGCCCAAATTTAGTTGATTATTTCTCTGCAATTACAAACTGTCCTTACAATCTTGGTATCAAAATAAAGCTAACACTTGGGAAATTTCATCAGAGGTGTAAATATTGAAGCAGATATTACTATGTATTACTGGAACACAGAAAAAGTAGATTTTTATTCTCGCCTAATTTATTTTTAGCATATAACCCTTTGAATAATATGCCTGAGATCACATTTGGTTCCAGAAATTCAGTAACCAACATATAAACATAATCTGTGCAAAGATTCATGTTTCTAAAGTGAAACAGTGAAAAATTACAGCCCTGTCAAGACATCCAGACGTTGTACAAAAATGTCCAATTTCGGCACACAATTGGACACCATGCCAGTTGATTTTTTTAGGTATTTAAAGAGCAGAAATTAATAAAATTTATTAACAGACC